TGAATTTATTATTGATACTAAACATTTCCATAGAAAAAACAAATGTGACCCAGTTGTACAGTGCATTAGTATTCTAACCAAATAAAAAAAAGGAAAATCAAGGGTTCAATTAGATGTCATTCATTGTTCAGATGAAAGGACAACTAATGTGAACCAGTATTATTCAATCATCCTTCAATATTTGTTGGATATCCCTTCATATGTATAAACCATACAAAAGTATACACTGTATACATCTTTGACCACATACCCAAGCATATATTTTACTAGTAAAACAGCATATTTCCAAAACTTAACAGCACTCCATCTAAATTATACATTACTTCATAAAAAAGTACATTATATTTCCCACAATAATACAAGTTAAATTATATTGCCCATAGGGAAGCATTTTGTTCAGCATGGCAAAAGTTGAAATTCAGTAACAAAAATTTTTTCTACATCTAAACATTGACCCTTACTTGTCCCACACGATGGGTGATTTTTAAAGTTAATGTCGAGCCCTGTATGTATAAGTTACTTAAATGAAAATGTTGCCGTCTCATAATATTGATTAAAACTTTATTCATTAAGAAATTTAAGATTTATCAACTAGTAAAAGATTTGCTTCTTAGTCAGTAAAAACAAAACAGATTAATTACATTTACAAATTGCAAGGCTTTCTTATCTTTAGCTCATCATATTAAAGTTCATTTTAACTTTAAATTACAACTTTCAATTATCAAAAGTACACTTCTGATTGTCTTACTTTACATGTCTAGGATAAACCATATTTAAAAGATACAAAAACCAAAACTTTACCTTCAAAGCTACATTTTTCACTGGAAGGGTGAATTTGTTACATTGTCCTAGTTCTGACACTAGATTAATAAATCTGCAGGAATTAAAAAAGGATTTATGAAATTCCTAACAAGAAGATAAGAATTTGAGGAAAAACAAGACAATTGTATGTTTCACATCATATATTACAACCATGGTTTTGCCAATTGTCTTGTTCTTCCTCAATTCTGTAATTATGGAGTTTCACCAAATACCGACAGTTTCAAGTATCAATTACATAAGAACTTGATTTAAAGTCCTTTGATAAAAACAGTATTTGAGAAATTTCAGCACAAACATTAAAACTGAAAATATCACCATCTTTTCACTCGAAACATTTTATTATGTATATATACTTTCAGGACTTTTGGAATATCAAAATCAGTTTAGAGAGCACAAACTAGGTTTAAACCCTCCTAAAATGAAGATCTCCAAAACATTGAGTCTAAAGGTCCAAAATTTCCTAATCTACTGAATCAAAATGACATTAATTCAGTGAAAGAAAGAAAGAAAAGAAATAATAAACAGTAGTGAGAGAAGAGGTATACATCTCGTAAACAAAATAACACAAGATACCTAAAATCACTGTTTTGGTATCACTTATGCTATTAAAAGTGCCAGTTTTACATATCTTCTTCAGTTTAAACTATAGTTCCTACTGTTATTTAGAGTCTTACCATAATTTTTTGCTTGGAATATTTTTGATCAGCCAAGAGTTAAATTTTACTTACTTGAAAAGGTATTTCCATTAGATACTCACTTCTGTACACAGTTAAGCTATTTCCCCCATGCATCCACCTAATCTCACGAGATTTCTCATAAATTGTATTACTGCATAATGATATCATTATCCACCAATAAGAGGGTAACAAATCTGGTTGCATAAAGGAACCCACTAACTTATGCACAATGGTTGTGTTGGATATAAAAAACTGCTCAGTTTAAGAGTTATTATTTAGTTTATATAATGATTATTTAGTTTCATAACAAGAGTGTTAAAAGTTAATTATTTTAAAAGTGATAGTTATGACAAGTTTCATTATATAACTCTGCATGAGTCATACATTGTGTATGCAATTTAATTGTTGTACTAGGCTTTTGTAATATTGTTGACATCATTTTACTCTAAGCTTCTAAGTTTTTCTCATTATATTTAATATTGCTGTTACCAGTGGGCTAGATATTGTTAGATTTTTCTGTCACATGTAGATACAGAGAATAAGTATGTTAGTAAAAGGAAAGAAGTTATTGAACATAAAAATGAAAAAAGTAAAGTTAGACTGTATGATTGTCAGTTTAGCCATAACATGAGTTTCACAGCTTGTATTTAAACAACAGAGATGAAGAAGAAGAATTTGTCTCAACAAAGGGTGTTCTAAGGCAATTGAACCCACCTGTATAAACTTTGATGAAAAGAAGACAATTATTTAAAGCTCTATATTCAACTGTGTTAAACAATAGCGTAACAAATTCTTGTACGTGCATTTGACTTGTTTTGGATATATTATTTTAAAACAAGTGGATTGTATGATGTCCACTTATTGTTGAAATTTATCGCCAACAAGTCACAGACACCTACTGTAAAGAATCCAGCCCTATACAAAACCTGACAGGCTGTCACATCATCCTCAATCAGTCTGTTTCCAGAAGTCATAGTTGATACATAACCTGAATGAAGAAATTCTTCACTCACACAAGTAGTAGTAGATGTTACATGAACTTGTGAGTTCATAGTTTGTAGGAAAAGAGAAGGAAATCAAGTTCCTTAAATAAGCAAATCTTGTTAAATTGAAAAAGAAAAACATGTCTGATATGTTTAGTGGTAAGGAAAAGAATAAAGATTCACAAGTGTAAATGCACAGAGGAAGTTAGTGTGCAAGGAGGTGTGTCACCCTACTATTGGAGTTTAGGGAAAACAAACAACATAAAAGACCATCATTGACATTTTAAGAATGAATGCTAAATGTACCCTTATGATAATCTTTCACTGAAATTATTGAAGGTAACATAGCAACCATATGTACTATTCAAATATTTCTTATAATATCTATCCAAGAAACCCCACTTTTGATTTTAATCTTTAACACTAACAACTACCATTCTATGTACAAGCACATAAATACATACACAAAATTCAATTACCTTATTAAAGCCATAGAATACAGGAGGCTAATGTCACCAGCTTGACAGTTAGTCCCTTCCTGGTAAGCCAACTGATCTTGGATCTGAGCTCTTACCAGTGCAACAGTTGCATCAATCCCAACAGGAATTTTAGGGTGAGATCTGAAATGTATGTACTAAAAGTTACTACAAGTCATTTCAGAGATTTAACATATATATTGAAAAATAAATTTGATAAGAAAACTGAATAATTACATATTTATAAAAAGATTGTGAAGTTCTTACAAGGATTAAGCTTATCCTCACGGCTAACATAAGTATAAAAAGTCAATTACAAGGTCCTGTAAAGTAAAGATTTACTTATACTAAAGTACATTCCAGTACCTGGAAAGTGAGTTAGTGAGCATCGGTAGTCATATTGGTAATGGTAACACTAATAAAACTTCTAACACTAACAGCTAGAATCCCACCTTGATAAGATGGAAGGACTGGTGAGGACATTATCCATACACAAAGCACCTGTATAGATCATGAGTGTGTCAATAGAAAATTGGCACCCTAGTGGAGGAACCTCACTACATCCAGAACAGGTATGCTCTTCACCCAGAATTTAATTCCTGTATTGGGGTTGAAATTTTACCTGATTTATCATCACAATAGGCCAGACCCCAACCAGATAAATGAGGTTCCAATACTCAGGGTTGGAATAATAGGGCCATAGTCCCTATATCCAACATTGGTGGCTAGAGCACTTATAAGTGGATCCCAACCTGTAGCCATAGAGTGATGTGTGTTCTGAGCCACCAGAATCACAATGAGAAAGTAAGCAACACTAAAATAGACAAACCTTCTCCTCAACCTAAAGAAATCCAAAAGGAAACAACCAAGGCTCAGAATGATGGGATCGTGTATGCCTTACTCAACCTGAGGAAACAGAACTCATCCAGTCTGGAATCATGAACACTTATATTCACTCCCCAACCTTGTGAGCAAGGTAAATTCCACTTCCCCCGAGAATTATTAGGAGGGTGTGGAACATCATTGCTCAATCGAGGATCTAGGATGTGACCACTCTGCATTTGGAATTATATGAGGAGACAGTGGACCCTCTTCTATGAGCAATGTACTGGATCCACATTGATCAAAAAGAAGGGCCACGCTCAACCCAACCAGATAGACGAGTGTCAAATCTGAACTGGTATAATGAATAGGCTCCAGCATAGGCTGGTGCCACTCGAACCCACATCTGAGAAAAACATCCGGGGTCCCAGGTGGGAGGGCCCCCAACTTCACCCTCTTCTACAAGAGTAAAGGAAGTGAATTGGTGAAAATGATTTATCCCCTTTTCTGTCTGACAGTGTCTTGGGTAAGAAGAACTGGTCTGAGGATAAAGAGAGAATGATAAAATGGTCTGTGGACAAACAGCACAAATCACTCCGACCAGTGACATCTGGAGGTCAGCAACAACAAAAAATAATCCTTCAGATAAAGGAGATACATGGAATAAAAGAGTCAGGTCACAAACAGGTGTTGAGAAAGAGCATGTAATGTAACCTTAATATATCTGTTAGGTAACAGGAATGGTCATTTGGGACCAAGGACCCAAAGAGACTTGAGGAATCCGTAGAGTACTGAAGACTCAAAAAAACATGGAGTTATGATAATTAAATGATAGTTGATAAGGCCACCTTAAACAGTACAATTGTAGAAAGGAATTGTATCGCTGAAATTCTTCAGAAAGAATTTTTATGGGAAATTTAACAAACGAACAGAGATGTAACAAATTGGTGTCAGGAGTGGGATTAAAAAAAAAGAAAAAGAAGATGGAAACAAGAAGTGGCAAATCAAACTACAGCTAAGCAGATTTGATGGCAGCAATACAAGAACAGCAAAAGAAACAAGAAGAAAGAGAAAAGAAACAAAAAGAGAGACAGCAACAGTTGCAAGAAAACCTGCAACAGTAGCAGCTCGAACAGCAAAATAAACAAGAAGAGATTACAGCAGTTGTTAGAGGAAAAATAAAAGAAACAAGAAGAACGAGAAAAGAAACAAGAGAAATTACAGCATTGGTTGGGGGGAAAGAAAAGAAACAAGAAGAGAGATTACAACAGCTGTTGGAAGAAAAGAATGAGAAAATAAACAAGAAGATAGACTACAACAGTGGCAACTAGAACAAGAAGTACAAATGGAAAAGCTTAGCAAATTTCAAAGTGAATTAAATACCTGAAAGGATGATTTACTGTCTTTTACACAAGGATGATATATTGGCCATGGACCTAATCACCCTCAGACAATGGAACGCCCCTTCCAGA